ATTTTAATATGATTCTTTGATGAATTTCTAAATAGAATATATTGTCTAATCTCTGCATATCTTATGTGACAATTATTATTATTATTATTATGGAATTTGATTGTAACACACGCATGCATGCATGATGATAAATTATTGTAGTGCATTATTAAAAATGTTTTATATCCTTTTGACTGCATAAAACTTTCAAAGACCACGTAAACTTATAAATTAATTAATTTGTAATCCTCCATAGCAATAAATTATCGCATGTATATAGTTTTAAAATCATCAATTGTGTGAGACTTTTAGAGTCTTTGCAGATTTATAAGTCAATTAACTTCTCCTAGGTGGCAGTAAATTATTGTGAGCGCATATTTTAAAATATTTTATCCTTAAATAAAAATAAAAGGTTCTCCTAAAATAAATAAAATAAAATAAATCCTATTTGAAAGATGGACTTTAGGATACATGAAATTTTCATAAATCTTATCAAAATATTTTCTACAAAATTATCCCTCAAGATCTTGCCATAAATAAAGAAATAAAATATTTTCATAAATAAAAACTACAAACCAATATTAAAATTATTTAAAAAATTTAATAATTAATATTTTTTCTAAAAAAAGTCTCCAAGAGACACGCATTTTTAGCTTGAACTACGTGAGCTTTAATCCCTCAAAAGAGTATGTAAGCCTTAGGATTTCATCCTAGATCAATTCAAACTTATAAATAAATAAAATTTTTCCTTTTTAATTTTCTTACTTTTTTATCTTATTTTTTAAAGGATAATTAATATATATTTTAAGGACATTTAAATTTATACAATTAACTCAAGGTAACCATTCACATGAATGGGTGTTGTGGGGTGCCTAACACCTTCCCTGCACACAATTAACTTTCTTATTATTTTCTCTATGCGTAGACCATACAATTAAAGAGGTTTCCAAAATTATTTTTTAAAATTTTGGTGGTGACTATGAAATATTTATATTTTTATTCGAATTCCCTCCTTAGGAAATTTTGAATCGGGCACGACATTGAGCATTGTCCTCAGGGAAATGTGACGGAATGTGGATTATCATACTTTTAAGGGAGCTGAAGATGGATGTGAATTCTCCAATCAAGGTTTAGTGTGATAACATGTCAGCCATACAAATTGCCAAAAATCCAATTCAACATAATCAAATGAAACATGTAGAGATTGCTTGGTGCTTCATTAGGGAAAAAAATTGAGGACAAAATAATTGATTTAACATATTTTCCTTGAGGTCAACGGATTGCTGATGTGATGACAAAATTGTTCACTCAAGACAAGTTTAAAAGATTTAGAAGAAAGCTGGGAATGATTAATATCTATTCGCTAGCTTGAGGGGGAGTTTTGGAAGTAGGCTTGCTGTCTCTTGGCCCCATTAGAAGAGGCTACCCTAGTTACTTAATATCATTTAGTTTTTAGGATATTTAGTATTTATTTTTTATATCCCTAAATATATGGGATTTTTCTATTTTAGAATTATTTGCCTGATATGATCAAATTTAATCATTCCTCTAGCATCTATAAATGTACTCTGTTTTTTAGTGAATAAACTATGAAATAGAAACATAAATAATAGAAATCTTGTTGGTTATATTTATGTTATCATGACCTCTGATTATGTTAACTATACTTTTGAGATCTAGCATTATTTTTCTTAGAAACTTTAGATGGGTTGTAACTCATAATTTTGTAAAGGCCTACTTCTTGTTAAATATATTTAGGATCCCAATGGGTTTATTAAAAATGGGATGTTTAGTATCTTCTTAAGTTAAAAAATTTGAAAATTGGTGTCTTATTTAATCTAGGAAATTTAACCCTTTTCTACTATGATAAACTATTTTCAATTATGCTGGTAGGGCTATAATAAGTTTTTATGAGTATACATCTAGTCCTTTCAACCATATTATAATGTGTTTATCTCCTTTTCCACTAAGGTTTACAATTCAATATTAGATTTGAAACTTTCTACTATAATAAACATTTGCAATTAGTTTGTTTCTTTTTTACCATGATAGAGTATAAAGTTGTGGTTTTTAAAAAGTAAGGTGTTACAAACATTTTCTTCATTTGATATCATGATACATTGTTTGAACTTGTTAATTATCATGATAGATCCTTTTCTATCATGATATATTGTCCTAATTTCTTTTAAACACTAAATTATTTTCTTTTCAACCATAATAGACCTCAAATAATTGCTTTTGTTTCTTTCTCTACTATAGCTAGCCTTTATTAATAACATTAGTCTTTTTCTACCACGGTAATCTTTCTTTTAATTACCATCATGGAGTTAGTTAATTGAGATTAGGAAGTGTGGACTTTACATCCCCATCTTCCATAACACACATTTAGCACTTATGCCTTACCTATCCGTCTAATTATACTTGGAATAATATCATCCTGCCTTCCTCCTCCTCTTACCTTGCTATAACATCTTGGTTGCATAATTGGGGACTTAGATTCATTAGAGTTTGATTTGGGGATTCTATTAAGGATAATCATAAAGCTGCCAGATAGGGGGTCTCAAAGCTAAGTCATCTTAGAGATTTGAAAGTTCTAGTCTTGTTTATGGGAAGATAAGACCATAAAGGGCCATGTCTATTAGCAAACAAAGGCAGATAGAAGGGATTAGAGTCTTAAGTCATGCAAGTTGTTGTCAAGGCATGTAATAGGGTCATTCATTGGCAAATGAAAGATGAACAAGTAGAACCATCCTATGATGTTTACCCACACACATACATGATTATAATGGGCTTGACCAGTTGTGGATGTTATTGTTGACCTAGTTTATAAATATGTCATTCAATTATAGATTTTAGGAGAGGAGAAAGAGGGAGTTGCGATAAAGAGAGAGTTAGGGATTGAAGGTTTGGATCATTAGAGCATGATTTGAGTCTTCATGATGAAATTTGATGTATATCTTAGGGTTTCAAATCCTTTAAGATTTCTTGTAACATACCAAATTTTTTTTAATGTATAAAATAAATTAAGGTCAATAAAGAAAATTAGTGAATTAATTAATTTAATTTACTTTTTGAATTACTAATGGATTTATTGGAATGTTGGATAGCCTCAGGATTGGGCTAGGTTATGTATTAGGAAAATGAGGACCAATTGGTAGGGCCAAATTACATGTCAACTTACTGAGCCATCTAACTCAACATATGCACCTTGCATTGTAGGGTATAAATTTTTTTTTTAGATAAAGAAGACATGTTTGGGCATTCGAAAAAGAAAAAGAAAAGAAGAAAATAGATGAGGTGATGGAGGAAGAGCATTTGGTTGCTAGGGTTTGGATTTTTCACCATGTTAGAAGTATTTTGGACTAAATACAAGATAGGTAAGATCCCTACATCTCTCCTTTATGTCCCTATAAATTTTCAGGAGGTTTGGATGTTAGAAGATGATGACTTCGTCCTCTCAAGGGTTTGGTTCGAACCTATTAACTTTAATAGGGTTGTCTTTGGGAGTTAATTTTAGTTTCTATACCTATGGTTAGTGTTTTAGGATGTTTGAGAGTTGGGCTCTAGGGTATGGATGAACCCTAGCCTTAAATTTGATTACTAGGAGTAATGTGGATTATAGCTTAGTGCTGTTTAATCTTATAGAAGCTAAACATAGCTAATGGAAGGTTCGTAGGACTTTGGTTATGCCAATAATAAAAGCTAGAAATTGTGGGCAGCTAATTATAGTTAGAAAGTGTGAATGTTAGAGTTGGAAATTAATTATTAGTGTTTGACTATATAGATTATTGTTACTCAGATACTCTTTGAGATGATCCAATCTTTTTCCTCGCTTGTTTGGATTGTTTTTAGGTTTTGTAGACTTCAATATGTTGTTTATATATATATATACAATACTAAAAAGCATATTTATGATTTTAGAAAATTATCTAAAGTTGGAATGGTTTTGAAACTAACTCTCTCTCTCTCTATATATATATATATATATTCTTGCAAAAAAGGTTTATAAAAAAAGTTGTTATATGAGTTGATCTCTAAATTGTCCATTATAAGAAAAGCCTTGTATGGATTGTAAGAAATTGAGAATATACATAATGACTTGCATTGTATTGTTTGGTATGATCATATTGTGAGGGTAGGAGTTCACCCTTTAATATTTTAAACTAGTCGAAGCCAGCTTCTTTTTGCAGCTTGATACATATATAATGTGTTTTCTCTAGAGTTGGATTAAACATCTATCCTACTTTCTATACTGCATACTTCTTATTTGGTGACAAACACAAGTAAAACCTACAATCCTTTAACCTTCACTTTATCTATGTCACGAACATATTTACTTTAGTCTTATTCGTAGTCAGTTATCCACTTGAATTTTAGTTTCCAATTTTTATCCTATCTTCTCCAAATTCTCAGTCTTGTATAATTGAGCCCACTCTACCTTGAAATACTTCCTAGTCATAATTGTCGCACTAACTCTAAGGATGAAATTTTCTTGTATGTTGTTTTGTGTAATGAGATGGTTGGTTTGGGTAATAAAATAAAAGTATTAATAAAAAAATTTTATCATGTGTAATATAGCCATATTGAATTATACATAATTTTAATTATAAAATATTAAAATGTATAAGTTTATCTACATTACTTGAACTAAACTAGCGATAAGCCTAAACTGTATTGTATTAACTTATACTATCAAATCAAACAGGCCTTTAAGTTTTTGACAATTATAATTTATAACTGCTTTTTTTATTTCTATCCACTAAATAGCTTACCATCTCAATTAAAAAAGTACAAACATTTGCACAAGAATGTAGAGATAAGACTCAAACACCAAGATTTATTATTTTTTGAAAAGTATCACGCATATATAGAGATTATATAATTTCCTTCTCACACGTAGCTCGTATAAGAGTTCATAAATAACATAGGGATAATAGTTTTAATTTTTCTTTTAGGTATGTAGTTGAATGGAGATACGCATAAAGCTTGAAGGCTTATTTGAGTGTTTTGCCTATTGAACACTATATTTCTTTCATTCCCTTCTGGATTAAAGCTGCCACACCATCATATGCTTTAGCCCATGCATTATTCAAATCCTCACTCCATTTTGCTCCTACAGCTTCCTTCACTGTTTTTAATAGTGCTTCTTTCACCACCTAATCAAATTCAAATAACCATCATTTAATTCATTGTGCTTACAGAACAAAAATAAAAAAAATAAAGTTTCAAACTATATTTTGTATAAAACAATTATAATTTAAAATGGTTTATGTTACCTCAAAATGTGCATCAATGACTCCTTTCTGGACGTGTACTGAGCTTAATTGCTTTAAGGTAGGGTCTGCGATCACAACCCCTCCTTTCTCTCGCAATTGAATTGCTGATTCAAAAGTCTATATGCCCAAATAACAATAATCATAGATGTATTATTGTTTCATGTGCCATTATGAGAAAAGCTAAATATTGTTAGGAGTTTTGCTTGTAATCAATACCACGAATTCTCTTTATGTTATTGAATAATTTTTTCATAACTTTATATTGTAGCAATTCAAAAGAATTTCATTATTAATAAAGTATGTCTCTTTTTATAATAAGCAACCACAAGAAGTAAGTTTCTCTCCACCAAGAAGAGGAACAAGGTATGCTTCATTCTTTTCATCTTTTAGAGATCATGCTATGTATAATAAATTGACTAGAAGACTTAAGTTTCACTTAAATGTCTTAGCATTTTTATAAACTTACCAACTTAAAAACCTTCAAGGCCTGAGCTTCTAGCTGAGGATTATTTTTGGGAATTTCGTTTGAACCTTTTAGAAATGGGAACAAGTCTTTTACTGCAGGTGCACTCCCTACTAACCTATATTCATCCAAACCAAAAAATAATAAAAAGGGAATATATACATAAAGAATGAGAAAAGCAAAGAGATTGGAACAGGAAAGAAATAATTAAAGGGAGTTATATGGAAATAAAGAGTTACATAGTGAAGAAGTAAAAACTATATTCAGGAAAAGTTTTTGTCAAATCCTCCCATGAGCTTTTTACAAGAGCCTCTTCCTTCTCACTGAAGCCAACCATTGCTGATGTTTAATATGCTTTAATTATATGTGATATTCAAGAAACTCAGGATGTGAATTGGGTGGAAGAGTAATGATCTATATATAGGATACGAATTGAAGTAGATGTGAAAAGAAATTTTGGCATATAATTTAAATAGAATGACATTAGTGTAAATTAATGACTACAAAAGAGCCAATATTGGCTTTTCATTGCATGCAAATTTCAAACTTTGGGAATGAGAAGCTAATTCTCTAAATTATATATTCTCAAAGGCCATAGTTTTAGCAGCGAAGGGTTAGTTTATCTATGGGCTAATGATTTTAAAAGCATGGTAGACAAGAGTAATAAAAGTGAAAATATTGACTTTATGATATAATCCAATGGTCAATTTTTGGAGAAATAATATTGTATAGCTAAATTAAATTAAAAAATAGTAAAATATACAAATCTCTCCCCTTTTTTTTTGATAAACACACAAGGATTTGAGCCTTTTGCATCACTTAGGATTTAACTCTCCAGGACACAAGAGGCAATTTTTTAGAAAAATTAATAATTTAAAAATGATTTAATAATTAAAAACCAATGATATATATTCATTATAATATTGAGCTTTGAGTTAAAAATTTGGATATAAGTTTAGAGGAAAAATTCAAATAGATTTCATGTTTAAAATATTAAAAGTAAAGGGAGCAAAGTATGAGAGGAAGGGAGTGCAAAATCAAAAATTCCATACCCATAATATATATGTAATTTTTCCAAGTGAATAGGCATATTTCCCCCCCTTTACTTGTTTGTGGCCATGTCATTGTTTGTACCTCTTGTGTTGCACATGTTATTATCTTATTATTGTTATATTTATGTTGTCATGACCTATGATTATGTTTAATTTATACTTTTAAGATCTTGTATTATTTTACGGATTAAGGGTAAAAATGCCCTTGGAGAGTACACGAAAGATCACAAATGATCCTAAACTTAACTTTGAGTCATTTATATTCCTCAACTTTAAAAAATTCTTGCTTTGTTACCCTGACATTTAGTCAATATGTGTTGATCATTCATGCATTTGTGGGGCCTATGATTTTGCATATTTGGCAAGCCATATATGCTTGATCATTAGTTGAGTTGGCTTGAATGGGTTATGTGGCATTTTGTTTGGGAAAAGAAGAAAGAAAAAACAAGGAGTACCAAGGCATTTAAGTCGAACAAAGGCTGAAACAAATCATAGAACATCTTCTACATTTGTCTCCACTTGAGAATGAGTACGAGTTGCTTCTCGAAGATGAGTACAATGTCCCAAGCATGTTTGGTGGGCAATTCTATAAGTTCTTAATCAAGTATCAATCAAAGGAGGGTCACATTCAAAAGTTAAGGAGCTGAAGATGTGAAATACCCACCTCCACTGAGGAATTAGTTTTGTAGAGAAATTGCATCGAGGTGGATATCATGGACTGAAAACAACCTTAAAAGAAGGTTTTTTGGGTTTAAAAACTATAGCTAAATATGCCTTAGCGCTAATCTCTCTTGATTTGAGTTTGTTTGCTCTGGGCACTGAGTGTTAAGTATGAATGTCGAGGTGGATGCTGTTTTTTCTCATGGCTAGATAATGAAATGGAGGAAAGGCTGAAGCAAGTTATTCTCAAGCTTTTAGGTCATGTTAAGAGGTTGAATGAAAAGAATAAAGGGCTGTGTGGACAAAGAAAGAAGGAAGAACAGATTAATGGCATTATACATGGGTTGGATGAGGCGAAGAAGAAACTAAAGATGGCAATGGGAGCTTTAATATTGTCTTGGGTGTTCCTTGAGTCATATTTAGTTGTTCCTTTATTTATGGGAATATAGTATCATTTTTTAATGGTCATGTAGACATTTTATGCTTTTATTTGGGAGCACTGAAAATTAGACTAATTGGAACCAATTGAATTTTTAAAATTTTGTAAGAAGAATTATGTCTTTATGCATTTATTGTGGAAAATTGAAATAGGCATATATAGCCATGTTTCTCTGTACTTGTATTTGTTATGAATTTATGAAGGTTGAATAACTAAAGTGAACTTTAATATATTGCTATCAAAATAGAATAATGAACAATAAGCCTTTGAAGGTTGGCCAACATGACAATAACATTAATCAATATAGTTATCAAATTATAATATATTAAAGTTTGTAATGAGAACATAGCTAAATCACTTTGCCATGATAGAATGGCTACATAAAAAGCACAAATGATGGTTCCATACAAAACACAAAAGAATGGCACTAATGTGAAACTTTGTCATACACAGAATGCTTGCTTACAAAACACAGAAGAAATCATGGAAAATTAAAATGCAAACTTGACACAAACTAAATGACAATCTCTTTTCCCTTTGATCTTTGTTATCCAACCATCCTTTTCCTATGACCTTCAAGGTGGGAGCCACTAACACAAGGAATCCCTTTCTATCTTAGACTTAGTGGTTTAACTAGGAGGTTTAAGGGTTGATTAACATTTGCACCTAAACCTCTTGATGCAATCCTCCTAATTGCTCCAATGGCTATTGTGTGCCTCTCTTTTCAGAGTTAAGTCTCATTTAGGATTAGGAACCTTATTTCTAGATTTGTGTTTTAATGCATATACTCTTTAGTTATACCCTCTTCAAGTACCACCTCATATGGCATTCCAAGTTGCATATGTAAAGTGTAATGTGTGTTATTGTATAGAATCTATGAGGAAATGTTAGTTAATAACTACAAAGCTATAAAATAAACTTACATTGTAAACCATCCTTCCTGTGGCTTCATCAACTTAGATCCCTTTACCAACCTTAGTCTTTGATCAATAAATTGCTTTATTACAAAGTGTCTTGAATAGTACATTGGTGTTAGTTATAGGAGTAGATGGTAGGGGAGGTTTAGGGTTGATAGATTATTGAATACCTTGGCTGCTCTTAGTTTTATATTATTAGGAGAGTGTAGGAGTGGGTGGTGGGGGAGGTGTCTAGTAGAGAAATTTCTTGGCCTTTTTTGGTTATGGGTCCTTACTATTAGAATGCCTATGTAGAATATACACATAAATGGTGAAGTGAAAATAAAGTATACATAAATGAAGACATTACATGTAAAAGAAAAGTGTAATTACTGACTTTTTATAATATGACTTGTTATAACCTAGTTTTTGACAATAACTACATGTCATTTTAGCACCCTTCTTACTAATTTTCTCAACTTGAGGTATAGGCATATCCTTACTTGCATCACCCTTGACCATATGTTATGAATTGGCTCTTTTTCTTCTCTTTGTATACTTATTAATCATAGACCTCTTCTTCACGTCATCCTTAGCATGGCTTTAATTGGTTGTGGCTCTATCGTTTAAATTGTTCAAGCTTCTAGAATTTCTTACCTCTTAAAGGTTGGAATTTAACTTTGTAGCTATGCATATGTCATGATTTATGATAGCAATTAGATATCTAAGATAAGGGTGCTATTTTTGAATGATACATTGCACATATGGCATGTTGGCATGGGATTCCAGTTAAATCCCATGCCTCACAAGTGCATGCCTTTCATGTTAAGAAGACAGTATCCCTATCTTGCCCCTTAGTCACCTTATACCCTTCATCCCTATTAAAAAACACTTGACACTTACATGCCGATTCTCTATTAGTTTCAAACAGTTTTTCATAATTTAAACTGTAATTAAAAGTCCACCTTTCTAAAATCTTACCATTATCTGCCTATGTGGTCATCATTTTAATCCTGATACTCTCAAACATCCTAATTACAAGTAGGTATCTAAACTCATAATCGAAGTATTCAAGCCCTTGTATACATTATTGTCAACTACACAAGTCTTGCTCCTAGTTGTGAAGTAGGTTGTTACCCAGGATTATGGAGGATATGATACCAAAGGCTCTGCTGCTACCTTGCTTAGTGCTTCTATAGCATTTAGGTTGTCCTTGAACATTTCTTCAAATATACTCTAAGCGCAAGTGAAGAATTTTTTCTTCAACTACTCTCCCCTCTATCTTTCACTCTTGTTAGCTTATATGTGTCTTACACACAATCTGTGCTCGACCATAGGCAAGACCTCCTTTATAGCCAAGGGGAGTCCCTACAAATAAAAATCTCAATAAGTCAATGCAGTTTGTAAATCATAGTAGGTGAAAAAAATTACTTAGTTACCTTCTGCATATCAGACATCAAAGTAATAGATGAGCCATCCTTTAAATCAAGGGAGGTCTGAAGCCACTAAGAAAACTATCTCTAATTGTGGGTATTCTCCTTTTAGGTTAGACAAAAAATAATGGGGTAAAGGGAATCATTAGTATTCAAAGCATAAGTAGTCAACAAAATGCCTCTTTCTTTTCCTTTCAAAAAAGTGCCATCTAGCCTAATGAAAGGCCTACACCCTTCTCTCCAACCAATCTGCTAAAGTTTAAGTGAAGTAGGTAGCATTAAACTTAGTTTAAACACAAAAAGCTATTTTAAACACAATAGGTTCGTATCTATACCTTTGATGCATTGAAGCATACATACATACAATTGAAGACCCTCCTTCCTTGCTCTACTTTGCTCAACTCCAAGCTTATGCCAGATCCAGTATTTGAATCCCTTAATTCACAATAATATGCTTCAAGTTTCAAAAATTCATCCTTATAGCTCCCATTTCTTGCATTATTCTCCTTTTATCCTTTTTACACTTCTATAAACTCACACTCAACTTGAACTCATGTTTAAGATCTTTAATTTCTTCATGTCAGAAATCATGTACTATGGCCTCTTTTGGAATTTATCTTTAAAGTTCTTTGCTATCCAGTTAACTGAGGCTCTAAGGTTCTTAAAAACCCTTAGGCATTTGTGTTGGTCTTAATCTTCAGTCTAGGTGAATTACAATCCATAGAAGTAAAGAGTATGAATGGGTATCCCTCTTGACATCTAGCCTTGAACCTTTTTGGCTCACTCTTAATATAGGTCACATTCACACCTTTTATTATGGCATACTTGCTTATGGCTTTCTTCAACTCTTCTTTATTGATATAGGTCATCCCTAACTTGAAGAAAGGCTTATCTTCATCCTTAAGCCCCATAACTTCAATTTCAACCCTATTTCTATTGCTTGGGCCCATCTCGTCTCCCCCTTCCTCCTCTTTACTATCATTGTCCTCATTATGATTGTCTCTATCTAATCCTAAATGCCTAAAGTATTTACTATCTTCACTAGTGTTATCTTCATTGGTTGACTCACCTTCAAGTGCCTCCTCTTCACCTTTACTAACCCTATCCTAATCTTCATCTTTATCCTTATCAGTTGGATGATTCTATCTAACACTTCTCTTTGAATTCTTAATATCAGCAAGTGAATACTTTACATTTCTATTATTTTTTTCCAATTGTTTCTCATACTTCTTATACTAACTCAGATAAGATTCAATCATGTCATTATCAAATGTTTGCTTCCTATTAAATTGAGAAGCATTAATTTCTTCAATCTCGTCTCCCTCAGTTTTGGCTCCCTTTTAGTCATCGTCTCCTTCACCATTTATGTTATCAAATTCTTTCTCAAACTCATAGTCCTTATTAAAGACTTGCTTGTCGCTCCCTTCACTTCCTAATCTTCTTGTTGACTTAAATTACCTAATGTTACACCTTTCTTTAATTCTAAGTCCTCACAAGCAAATCTTTCTTAGCTTCTTCAACCATTTTCACCACATTGTCTATTAATAAAAAGTACTCCTCCATGCTCAACTTATGCAGACTTCCATTACTAGTATCATTACCAGTGCCAGCATTAACACCACCATCAAATATCTCTAATAACAACCACTAACACAGACTTGAGGAATTATGCGAGAATTTACTATGTAAAATTTAGTGATTCCTTACCTCAACTTCAAATGTGATTCTCTGCACACCGATTAGATTTCAAATGTGTTGTCTATACTTGCTCAAATAATCTCTTGTTTCTCTAATTCTCCTTTATGCTTGAGAATTGTTGAGAGCAGACTAAAGGGATTAGTATTTTCCCCCCTTCATGCTTGATAATGCTCTACTGTCTTTCTAATTTTCTTGCCTCATCTTTTCTTCTTTTTTTTTTCCCTTTTACCTAGTCATGTCGATATGTCTTTCTCAGCTTTTTTATGTGTACATGGCTAGTAAAACAAATGCATACACATCAACACAAAAATAGAGTAGTTACATTGACTAAATGTCAAGGTAACAAAGCAAGGATTTTTTAAGGTTAAGGGACATAAATGACTCATAGTTGAGTTTAAAATTATTTATGACCTTTCGTATACACTTTAAGGACATTTGTAACCCTTAACCCCTATTTTACTTATAAACTTCGAATGGGTTGTAAGTCATATTTTTGTGTTAAATCTTTTTGGGATCATTACGAAAGGTATTAATTAAAGATGTTAACTAGGGCCCATAAAATGATAAAACATGGCATGTTCATATTGAAAAGTCATTGCATTAAAGGGCATTTTTATCCTAAAAATATTCATACAAGTACAAGTGGTACCATAAATTTTAACAATAAAAAGAAATTAGTACCCCCTCTTTTTTATGAGACATGTGGATTATGTTTAAGGTGCCACTTGGTTTACCATTCCAACTAGATATATTAAATCATAAAAAAAAAATAAGCCTTGGCTAATAATCAACTAACACTACCACAAATTATATATGTTTATCCAAACTTACTAAGCATTCGTCAATTGAAAAAAAGAAAAAGAAACTTTAGCCCAGACTAATGGTCAATATGAGCACATGCATTCAGTTGTTAAACAAATAGAATGAAAAAAATGGATGTCACTTAGCTTGCTAAATAGGCAATTATCGATTAAAAAAAAGTTTGCTAGTCTACTCTAATTATTAATTATCAAATAACAGTATTGTCATAGGTCAATTAATGATCTTGAAAATAGATAAATCAGTAATTTGTTGATTAACATAAAGCCATATGTAAGACCAAAATGGTTTCACTTGCTCTTCCTTAAATACTCCCAAAACTTTCACTATAAAAAGCATTGTTTTAGAGGCATTTTTCTTTTCTTTAGGGACATTTTAAAACTCCCCTAATGGTGTTTATGGGGTTTTTCAAAAAAGCTACCAAAATAGGTGATACCATTGCTTTCACAATATTTATAAAAATATGCTAGAAATACCAAATAAATGCCTCCAGTAGAGGAAAGTTCTACTAAAAAAAAGCCCTCACAAGTCACATGTGAAATGTAACGTCATCTATATCTCTATAAAATTTAGGTCACGTGCCATTTTAGCTAAAGACATTGGGAAACTTTGCTCCTTTTGATACTTAAGGATATCAATTGCTCCTTTAATTAATCTAAGGACTTTGCAATTATAATAAAATAAAAAAGAGGTTTATGTACTTATAGGGAAAAAAAGATAAAATAGGTATGTGTATTTTATTCTTTTTAATTTGATTTAGCCATAAGATATTGTTATTCCAAATCTAGACCATTGAATAATATCATAAGGCCAATAATTGCTCTTTCATTACTCTTAATTCAAATCTACCTTAATTTCAAAATCATCAGCCCGTAGATAAACTAATTCATTGCACCTAGAATTGTGATCTTTAAGAATATATCATGTTGCAAGGAACCTTTTCATTTGTAACGTTGGGAAATTGCATTATCTTAAAAGCCAATATTGGCACTTTAGTAGCCATTAATTCACATAAATGTCATTCTATTTAAAATATATGTTAAAATTTTATTTAACATCTACTTCAATTCAAATCCTGTATATAGAATTACCTTTCCATCCAAGTTATATGTGAGTTTGGTGAACATTACATATAATTATAGCAAATTAAAGATCATCAATAGCTGGCTTCAATAAAAAGGAAGAGGCTTTGGTGAAAAGTTCGTGGGAGGATTTGACAAAATGTTTTCCTAAATATAGTGTTTACTTCCTCATGCTGTAATTCCTTTAATTATTTTTGTCCTGATCTAACTTGTTTGGTTTTTACTCACTCTTATATATATATATGATATATTTTTTATAATTTTTATTATATTTTGGTTAAATATATATAGGTTAGTAGGGAATGCACCCACGGAAAAAGATTTGTTCCCTTTCTTGAAAGGTTCAAATGAAATTCTAAAAAATAATCCTCAGCTAGAAGCTCAAGCCTTGAAGGTTTTTAAGCTAGTAAGTCCATGAAAATACTAAGACATTTAAGTGAAACTTAAGTCTTCTAGTTAATTTATCATATGTATAGCGTGATATCTACAAGATGAAAAGAATATAATGGACCCATCCTTGTTCCTTTTCTCAGTGGAGAGAAATTTACTGATTGCTTATTATAAAAGGAAACATACTTTCTTAATAAGAATTTTTTTGAATTGTAGCAATATATAGGCAAAAATTATACAATAATATATATACTCCTCTATTAAAAAATATAAGGCATTTTTTCTTAAGTAAAATGTTTAAAAATATAAAGCATTTTGAATTTTTTAAATTACAACTACAAGACTTTTCCAAAAAATACCCTTAAATAAGAGGTGTGACTAATAATATTTTATAATTGAAACACCCTATAAATTAAGGAAAAATAGCAATCAAAGACCTCTGTATAAAATTTATATCAATCAAGTTGGCAAAACCTGAATGAATATTTGTCAATTCAGGTTAGTCTTTTATCAACAAGTATCCATTTGAATTTCAACAACTCATTCTAAATTAACAACAATCCGTTCAGTTTTTTTTTTGTTCAAGTTTTGATAACAACTAATCTTTAACTAATATAAATTTCATGTAGAGGTACTTATTTCCCTTAAATTAATGTAGATATGGAAAGAATCCCTTAAATTAATGTTGATATGGCAAGAATGTAATTTTAAAGATAATGAACTAACTCATTTAGGATATAATTTGGTTAAAAATGCTTTATAATATTGAAGAGAGGGAATCAAATAAATATGTGATATTGATTAAGAGAAAATTTTCTAAGCTATTTTAACACAATATTAGCTTTTCTCATAATAACACATGTATGAATGTTGTTATTTGGGATATAGACTTTTGAATCAACAATTCAATTGCGAGAGAAAGGAGGGGTTGTGATAGCAAATCCTGCAGTGAACCAATTAAGCTCTGTACACGTCCAGAAAGGAGTTGTTGATACACATTTTGAGGTAACACAAATCATTTTAAATTATCATTGTTTGATACAAAATATAATTGAAACTATTCTTTTTTGTTTTGTAACCTCAATGAATGAAATGAATTTTATTTGAATTTCATTAATTAGGTGGTGAAAGAGGCACTGTTAAAAACAGTGAAGGAAGTTGCCAGAGCAAAATGGAGTGAGGATTTGAACAATGCATGGGCTAAGGCATATGATGGGGTGGCTGCTTTAATAAAAAAGGAAATGAAAGAAATATAGTGTTCAACTAACACAACACTCAAATAAGCTTTCAACCTTTATATATATGTATATCCATTCAACTTTATGCAACAAAACTTAATTAAAAGTTATGGTCCCTATATATTACGTATGAACTATTATAAGAGCTACGTGTGAGAAGAAAATATATGATAAAAAATATATGTAACCTTTATATATCTATGATACTTTGCAAAGAGAATAAACATGGGTGTTTTAGTTTTATCTCTATATTTTTGTGTAAAAATTAGTGTCTTCTTGTTTGAGATGAAGTTGTTTAGTTGATATAAGCTAAGTTTGGATACTCAGACTTATTCTTTTTATAGGAAAGGATAAAAAATTTACAATAAAAGACCATAAAATTACAAACAATGACCCAAAAATTTACACAAAATGACCAAGAAAATTTTATTAGTCCTTTTTTATAATTTTGATATTATTTTCTATTATTTTCTAGTCAACTAGTGATCAAAGTTAACTTTTGATAATGCTAAGAGCCTATTTTACCATTTTCAAAAATTGAAGGGGGACATTACACCAAAAATGAGTTTAGGATTCCATACATTTCTAGACTTATAGTTTAAGGGTCAATTTTTTCTTTTATCCTTGTTACTTATGAGTTCATAACTTTTGTTGTTGCCGTTATTTTTTAGGTGGATTTTCAAGCATACTTAAAGTCAATAATTTAGGTCAAGCTTGACAGGCCAGCCTGAACCTGCCTAAAAAAACGTTAGGGCCATGCTTGGTTATATAGGCTTTTTTAAAAAGGTATGATACTCTAAGCCCGATCCAAATAAGCCCAGCCTAAATAAGCTCGATCACTGAAATTTATATCTTTATATGTATATAAAATTGTTAATTTTGATCAAGCCCGACGGGCTAACTCGAATTCGACAGAAAAAAGTTAGGATCAGGCTTTGCTATATGTGCTTTTTTAAGAGGGTATGATACTTTAAGCCTGATCTAAATAAATATAACCCGAATTAAGCTTAGCCCAAATAAGCCCTACCCCCCCCCCCCCCGAATTACCGACTCTAAGCATGCTTCATGTTGTTTTTTTTATTTTATATTCTTGATTTTGCTCTTCCCTTTCATTTTATAATTACACAAGCCAAAAAAATTATACTTCTTGTTTTTTCTTTTGTCCATCAATGGGAGAGGTCATCCATTTATAAAGTTGTTGGTATAGAAATTTCAAGAACCACTACTAACAAGTAACATTTTTTGTAAAAAAAAAATACTACCATAATTGCAACAAAAAGGGGATCTTTATAGTTCTCAAGACTATTATGATTATGAGAAGTGAATGAGTTTCTCCTTATTTTTGTTCCCCTAATTCTTTGTTATCTTATTCATTTTTCTCATCTCAATATCTTCTTCTTATTTTCAAAATGAATGTGTCTACGCTAGTTGGTGTTTCTTAAAAACCAGCTGTGCATGTTTAAAAGTTGAGTTGAAATTTGGTGATAAGATTACATTGATTGACTTTATTTGTTTCCCCATGTTGGGAATTGATATAATCATTGGGACGAACTGGTTGTCAGCTAATGAAGTGACACTTGAATATAATATGAAGATAGTTGCTTTGCTAGGATATATTGCAGCCACTGTAGTGCCTGATAACACTGTTTTAGTTGTTGCCCTTAAAGCACTAAAGTTTTTGTATGCTATTCAAGTGAAATAGACTATGAGGGATGTCCGGTGTTTCTAGTCTTCTTTTTTGTGCTGTATAAGGTTTATGATGGTGCTTTAGACAAAATTAAGGTTTTAAATGAATTTCCTGATGTGTTTGTAGATGAGATGTCAGGGTTACTGCCAAAAAAAGAGATTAAGTTCTGCATTGACATGGTACTAACCACTAAGCCTATTTCTAAGCCTCTATACCACATGGCTCCCTGTAGTGTTAAATAGGCATCCGGTTGTGAAAATACACTCATATGGGATGTTAGCCTAGCATTCAACCTTAGCCTCACCCTAAACAACAAGAGAAAAATATTACACCATGTGAGAAAAGTAAGAAATAAATAAAATATTATACTAAGACATTTAGCAACATTACCTCAAGTAGTTTTGGAGAAAGGACACCCATGTAGCTTTCTTGCACACTCGAGCTAAGCTCCATAATGAGATTCCCCTGTAGATGCCCTTTAAACAATGTCTCAATGTATTTATTTTTTTGTTCCATGTCTGCTTGGGTTTTGTGTAACTCTTCCCACAACAAATTTACCTCTTCATGACTAGCAAACTTTCTGGGTTTCTTTGGCATTGTTGTGAAATGCTTCTTCTTAGTAACTCTGAATCCTACACCTTAAACACGACTAGAGTGGTCAATATTCCCCAAAGCCTTCTCCAAGACATCCTCACTAAAAGGAATAATGCGAGAATTAACTACCTAAGCCAGGGTCACCTGTAAATTATACAATAGATAATAAAGAATTTATTATTTTCATAACATGAATACAATTATAATTGATACTTACAATTTTGTTAACAACCTCCTTCACTCAAGAGTCCTGAATGTTTCCCTGATCATCTGCTTGGACTAAAGGCCAAAGCTTGCCATAAGATATAAAACCCTTTGATCCGTGCCCCTTCGTATAGTCCTTCTCGACTATAGCATAACTCTTGCACTCTTTTAAGTAGGGATATTTACTCTTCTTCACCCTTGCATTGTTTATAATGCTTAATTCATAAGAAAAAAATAAAATATTAAAAGTCAATGTACATATATAAGCATTAAAAGCTAGCATTAAAGAATAAATATTACCTTTGACTCTTTATTATGATAGGAGTTAACAAAAGTAGCCCATTGTTTTGGCTTAATCACATATCTTAAGAGCAAGAGAACTCCATCTTCAAAGCCCTCTATGTTTGGGTTCTTCAAGAATTTTTGGGTGGCCCATGCTCTCAAACTATGATAGGCTATCCCAGTTTTTTAGAGAACAAACTTCTTCATACTCTCATCAAGCTTAAATCCCAACTACAAAAGAAATTAATCTTGTTGAGGTTAATATATCAAATTCATTGATATAACAAATAAGGTTAGAATAAAAAATAACTTACCAAGACTGTGCTCTATACTATGTCCTTCAATCAATCAAGTGTTTTTGCCTAATTCAACATGTTGAGAGGTGCGTTAGCTTTAGCCACCACTCAAATATAGCTAACCAAATTGATAGAGTCAATGTATTGACCCTTGTCATTTCATTTGGTAAGAAGCTTTTTTCCCAAGATCTCTAGATCTCACTACTATATCCATCACTACTACCCGCTCCTCAATTTTTTCTCTTCACCTCAATACAACTATTGTTGGGAATAAGTAGTAGTGGTAGTAGTAGTGGTTAGAATTGGATCACTCTAAGAAGGAGTGTAATTATTACTTCGCATATCCATTTAATCTCTTGAAAAAAACAAAACAAAACTAAATCAACAAAAGTCGTTTACATGTTCATAATTGTTCTTTTTCTTTTTCTTTTTTTTTGTCTCAATGTTTTTCTTGACAATCTTCTTCTTTAGTTAAATTAATTTTCCCCTCTTTGATAAACGAATATCCTCATTGTGATCATATCTCACGTACAAAGTGTAACATCCTAATTCTTGGGTTAAGTGTACTAATCAAGGATAATTAAATAAAATTCAATGCTAATTAGTTTGAGAATGGTTTGGAATGCCTAATGAGTCTATTGATTTCATTTATATTCTTTGGATTGGGTCTAGAATTGTTTTGAGCCACCTATGCCCAAAATGAGGAGCAAAATTAAGTCGAGCTCATATGTGCCATCAATTACAATGAAGGCAAGGGAGAAAGAAAGAAAGAAAGAAAGAAAGAAAGAGGGAGGGAGGGAACAACAAAAAGAGTAAAAAGCTCTGCCAAGGCAACAACATTTTAGCATATGTTGATTTAAGCTTGATTTTATTTAGATATGCTTTTTTTACTCCTTCTTACAACTAAGTTCTTTCATATTATTGAACTTGTCAATTAGTGAATAGCTTCTTGTTAAATGTGAATGAGTACTTATTAATTTATGAATGGATACTTGTCAATTAAAAAAAAGGGCTGGGGGTATTATAGTCTTTTCTCATATAAAATTATTTTAATCTAGTCCCCTAGTCTTGTAGTGATATATTCATAATCTTTTGATCCTTAATTAATATTAAATACATTCAGTGGTCCTTGAATGGTATTTTTCCAAAATAAAAATAAAGTGATTTATTTATTACGGATATTTTTGGGAAAGAAACAAATTAAACATATCTTTAACTGCTAAAAATGCCTAATATTTTTTAACATCTAACCCCTCCAAAAATGCCTATATTTTTTAATAGAGGTGTAAGTTTCAAATTGATATTATATATTCCCTTCAATCCTATTTAAAATACATCTTTTGAAAGTAATTTTTAATTCAAAATGTGGGATACCTTATAATAATTAAATCATTTTTTAATTTAATTCTTTCTTGATTAGCATGAAGGTATTTAATATAATTGTATCATAATTCAAAGTCAAAGATAGATATAAAAGCACATCTTCATTTTTTTTATAATATCAAAAAAATTAACTTTTCTTGAGATATATGAAATGGTTGAAAGTATCATATAATAAGAACCGGAGAGAATACTTATCAAGTATTCCCTTCAAATCATAATATAAGTCATTATTAAATAATGTACGTTTCTCACAAAATATAGTTAAGACTTTGATTTTCTAAAAAATTTTATATCTTTCCAATCATGCCCCTGAAAGTAGTAAATATAATATTTGACTTATTCAAAAATTCAAAAAATTCTCATTAATTACTCAATAAAGTAAGGGTGTAATTGAAAAAAAAAATATAACACCTATCTAATGCCTCAAATTTTAGACCAAACAAAATTTTTAGAAAAAGACTCATATTGTTGACCGGAGGAAGTATATCCATACATTTGAATTTAATTTAATGCTCATCATTGAAATAATTGTTCAAAACTAAAGCTAAACATTAAAACTAAGAATTAGATAACCTGCTCTTTTATGAAAGGATATAATCCAATCTTGTCTAGGAAAAAAACAATCATGGTTTCAAAAACCGGACAAGTCAATATGACTAGTAATCTCACAAAAGAACATGATACAATTAAACTAGAATTCTACATGAAAAAATTTTAAATTTCATTTTTAAAATATACAAGATAATAAATTATAAAATAAAATAAATTTATATGGGATGAACATTGGCTTTCTGAAAAAAAAATTGCACATTGAAGGATCATCTAGGAGAAAAAAAAACAACCATGATTTGAAAAACCAGACAAGCCAGTATGACCAGTGATCTCGCAAAAGAACATGACACAATTAAACTAGAATTCTACATAATATAATTTTTAAATTTCATTTTTAAAATATACAGGATAATAAATTATAAAATAAAATAAATTTATATGGGATGAACATTGGCTTTCTGAAAAAAAAAAAATTGCACAGTGAAGGATCATGTATGGCTTATAGTAAAATTAATAGATAAAAGATCTATCATGTGTTGATTGTTATTTTTTTTTCTTATGTGTATAGGATAATAAATGGTAGGATAAAATACAAAGCCAAATAAAAATTTATAAAATAAAATTTTTTATTATTTAAATTTTAATTTATGAGTGAATAACACATCTTAGAATAATAAATTATACTTTATAATTTTAACATACATAGAGTAACAAATTTTTATTTAATTTTTTTTAATATTTATGCGGCATGTTATTTATGTTTTCTATATGTGCTTAGATAAAAAAAAGGTAAAATTTCAGGTGGGAACCCCTAATCAAAGATAATTAAAGAGAGAACCCTAACATTTTTGAAATTTTACTATAGGACCTTGTATGGATTTTTTTTTTTTAATTTGTGACAAAAACAACAAAATTACCCTCATTTAAATGACCAACATACCATAGGTAAGACGACTTGCTCGTTTCCATACTGTATGTTGTTCATCTACTTATAGAATATTGTTTGTTTCCCTCCTTCACTTGTTTATAGTTCTACTTTCACTTGATTTCATTCCAAGGGTTATAAACAAGTGAAGTAGGGAAACAAATAATATTCCGTAAGTAAATGAACAATGTATAGTATGAGAATGAACAAGTTATTTTATCATGAAACCAGCACTTGAAATGAAATTAAGTGAAACTAAAGCTATAAAAAAGTGATATTAGGTAATTAATGACATTTCGTAAGTAAATGAATAACATACAGTATGAAATTAATAAGTCATCTTACCTACGGTATGTTGTTCATTTAAATAAAGGCAAATTTTTCATTTCCATCATAAATTTAATGTCAATTCCATACGAGTCATTTGGTGAAATTTCAAAAATTTTGGGGTTCTCTTTTTTAATATGTTTGGTCAAAGGTTCCCACCTGAAATTTTTCCTTAAAAAAAATTATAATAAGACAAGGTGTTTTTTTAAATTTAAATTTCTCATAGGTAACACATAAATTTTAAATTTTAATTTATAAAATAGATTTTTTTTTTTGGCATGCATTCGGCATTCCATGTTTTGACCCAAACAATTTAGTTGGCAATTGAGGGCACCTCTTTAGGGGCACAAAAAAAACTTTTAAAATAAAACTTACTTTTCATGTGCACTTCTTAAACTTGTCTTAATTTAATTATTTTTTTTGTCATGCAATACGTGTAATTAATAAATAATACTACCATCAATCCTAAACACGAACATTTTATAAATAATTAACGGTCTATTTGATAGGTTTTTTGGCATGAAAAATGAATAATTAATTATTTTTAAATTTTACACTTTAATTTTTTTATAAATAGAGGGAAAAGTTATATATAAAAGTGAAATTATCTTTTAAATATAATGCATTTAATAAAGGTAACTTCAATTTTTTTTATGTTTTTAAAAAACTAAAAATTTAACTATATCTCCTTAATTTTAGTGAGGTATTTATGTAAGGTATTTTTAATTAAACAATGCATATCAATAAAAGTTTGATATTTAATTTAAAACACATAAAATTGCAATAACTTTTCAATTTTACTTCTCATAATAGCACGAGTAATATCATGAAAGTAGGTAAAACCCACAATCAATATTCCTTTCCCCTTTTCAAGACAATAAAGGCAAAATTGCTTAATTATTCAAAATTATCATGACACTCCTTATGTTTGGGACAAATAAATTTCTAAAAAACATTATATGAGGAATATTTAAAAGTGGTTTATATATAAAACACGAGGGAGTATTATAATATTGGCTATGATATTTTCTTAGTTTAACATCATTATTTAATACACACACATACTTTTTTATTCACGTTTGCTTTTGGACATAATTTTAATTTATAAAAGCTATTATGACATAAATTATGGTATAGAATTTATTACAGTATATATTTTATTTTTTTAGGATGATGCATAAGCCAACAAATTCTTAAAAAAAAAATTTAATTATATTTTAATTTGCAAGAGATGAGAAATTTAAAAAATACTATTTATATTTTTTAAATATACAAAATGCCCTAATGTATCTTAAAAAGCTAACCTTATGATAAGAATAGCATGTCCGAAAATAGAAATTGTTGCGCTTAGATTTTAATTTACACGAGACAACCAATAATAGATTTAGGAATATTTCCTGGGGGTAATTTTTTTTTCTTTAATTAGTTATGGGGGGGAACTTAGTAAGAAGTATATTTTTTGATTTGATTTTAAAATTTTTTCACATATTAATCAAAGGAAAAATACAAGTGTGTCCCAAGAATAACACACTTTAAGATAAAATGAGTAATTATTTTTATCTTCAATATGTATGGGCAAAACAATTTTTACTATAAAATAAGTTATTATTTAAATTTTAATTTACGTAAATTGACAGACAAAAATAAATTATTTTTTTATTTTTATCTTTTAAACACGGCGAGTAAATCTAGTTGAAATAATTGTTGAAAACTAAAGGTAAACATTAAAACTCAAAATTCGATAACCTAGTTTTTTTCATAAAAGGATCCAAGCCATGGTTTGGAAAGCCGAACCAAAAGATACAAGCAAACCGGGTTCTGTTGAGTGGGCTAGTTGATTTGGTTCTTCACAAATATGTTGTAACCTTGGGTCGGTAGGATTGTTTTTTTTCTATGAAAGCTTTGGGGCATTTCATTTCTCTTTTCTAGTACATGTTTCAATTTTTCTATATTTTAAGTTTTTTTTTGTGCGCATAAAACAGGTTACAAAATGAGAATTAAAGGGACCTAATAGCATCACTAGGCCTACGTTTCAAGTTAGAATGTCAAATAACTACTCTATCTTAGTTAATTTGTAAATTTATTCATTATCAATTATGTTACCATGTATTAAGTACGGATTATTAATCAATCTTCTTCATTGCACCACGTAAATTATTGATTTTGTTTAAACATTGGGATGCATAAGTGCATGCTCTGCCATACTCCTTTCCGGTCTTATATATCAATCACTTTTAACCATCTCATCAGAATCAATAAAAAGTAGTTAAATTACTTATATTATTTGAAAAGAAAAATTTCTAAATATACCCTTGTTATATACATTATCTTCAAAAATACTTTATCTCTTATACGCAAAATTTCACCCTACTCGTAAAAAATTATAAAAGGATAAAATTAAAAAATAATTAATAATCTTTTTCACGCAAAATAACTTATTAAAAAAACATCAAATCCATCAAAAATATAATTTACATATAGGACTGGGACTAATTTTTACGAAGGTGCAAGCTTTAGGCTATTAAAATCCAAGGTTTTCAGCCCAGTGTTGTTGTAGTACTAGTCCACATTAAACCCAAAACACAATAGCAAAACGACAACAACAAAACAGAAATTAACCCGATATAGTTGCATGCCAATCCCCAACCTGATGAGAAAGCCTGGTCTGGTTTATACGAAAGTTTCATTCAAATAGGCTTCTCTCTATTTCAATCCATCTTTACTTCACCTCCCTACTACACTTGGCCATCAGATCAAATTTGAAGCATGAAAACCAAAGTGGTCCAAAATTAGTCAAATTGAAGTTCATGTAAATAAATAAATTTGACGGTCCAAAAATAGAAGTGAAAGTGAAGTAGAGGGAAGTTGAAATGGAAAGCAGCAGAACTAGGTTTCACCATGGTGTCAGAAAACAAGACACAGAGTAACTGAAGCAACATAACTAGAATGGCTACCACCAATACTTGCAAACCCATAAGTTTCAAAGCACGAATAACTTGTGTCCCTACAAAATAGCATAAAAATTGACATAAACTATGAGAAAACAGCTCTACATAGTTTAGTCTCACAAGGAAATAGTACAGTCTAATTCTTTGGCAGCTGCATGAAGAAACTCAATAGACATTCCATTGGAAAGACGGCTGTGAGCTTCCCAAGACAAGCATTTTTCTACATCAGCTTGCCAATCAATCACATACATATTGAAAAAATGATAGGAGGAGTTAGGGTTCTGCATGCCATCTATTCTTGCTAATTTAGGGCTAGGGCTGGGTCTGATTGAGCCGGTGTGCAATATATCTCTAAGTACTGATGTGCTCAGAGCCCTTACAAGTGCACTGGGATGAGAAAGGCATTGAACAGTAGCTGGTAGGCGACACTGCATGCACAGGAACCAAATCAGGTGAAAATTTAAAGTCTGGCCTTAGACTACATTGATTTCTGAATAAAAAGGTTTGGACTTGGTTTAGAGAATCTAACAAAAATTTCTTGATTCTCTAAAAATGCTGCATTTTAATGCTCTTATTCATGAGGGGGGTAAAGAGTCCAAATCAAACAGACTGAGACCCACCTGCTACTTGATGTATTAGCATTATACTAGATGATACACTCTCTCTATCCCAAATTATAAGAGAGTTTTTGGCAAAATTATACATATCAATAAAATTAATCAAATACACTTTAGATCTTAATATATATATATATCTATAAATTTCAAAAAATACCCTTAATTTACTATAAACTTTTTTTTTAAAATGAATACGGGAATATATAACTAACTCAAAATGAGTACAAAATCAGGATATGAAGTAAAAATAAATCTTTCATCAACTACCTCCATAAGAATGCTGGTTTTTTTATCAAAGGTGTACAAAGCATTGCCAAAAGAATGACAGGACTTAGCTAAGAATCTGATCTTATTTGTGAAACATTGAATAGTGATAAAATATATAATGAGGTAAGGGTGATATCAGAACAAGTATAATTAATGAAACCTTATTTTTGTCAAAGTATCTTATATTTTAAGATACAGATCACCTCCAAAAGTGCCTTATAAACTAGAACAGAGAGAGTGGAATACAAGTCTCCTACAACATTATATTTAAGTAATGATAAAGTAGTGTAGTGGCATGTGAAATTAGGTTATATAGTGTTGTTTGACTCAAACTATCATTAACTTTCAGTCATGAGAGATTCAGAGGTGAGTTAGTTAACTAGTAACTCATAAATGCAGTACCTAATCAAAGCCAGATTTGCAATGTTCAACCAGAGGAACATCATTCAACACGGGCATAGTTTAACCGGAAGTGTCAAAAAGGGAAGTTTCATTTACCTTCAACAGGTTTGAGAGGCCACCTGCCACTGCGAGTCCAGATTCTCCGAACTCCAGGACTGGCTGAACTGCCCTAGCTGTAGCTTCCAATAGCTGGTCAATTTTATCAAGAAAGAATATGAATATCAGTAAAAACCAAAGAATGAACTCCACAACAGCCTCCACCCTTGAAAAAGAAAAATAAAGAAATTTCAAAGCCATTTAATCCAACAAATTGTGCCCATATTGAACACTAGAATTAAGCCAGTAATATCTTCTTAACATCGGTAACTGGAAATTTTTGCGTTAAAAGCCTCAGGAGGAAGCAAAGAAACTACAATTGAATGCTTATTCAATAACTCAGTAGTACTGCAGCATAAAAAAGTATCTGTTCTTTTATCTCTGACAAGAAATCCATTAAAATAAAAAGCTCCTAGATCCACAATATCAAATTAGGGAACCACATTTAAGAAAAATGTTGACAACGTGTATGGACGTGTTATGTACAAAATGGCAAAAATTAACAGATGCCAGCATCTATGACAGAATAATATGTGAACTGGCAAATTAGCATTATATGATACAAATACAACAACAACAACAACAAGCCTTTATCCCACTAGGTAGGGTCAGCTATATAGATTGCAAGATGCCATTGTACTCTATTATTTATCAAGCTTTTAGGAATATTTTTAATTAAGAGATCGCATTCAACAACTTCCAAGAGTGTTCTCTTAAGCCTTCCTCTGCCCCTCTTAATCAGGCTCAAAGTTATATATTCCACTCTTCTCACTGGTGCCTCCCGTGGTCTTCTTTGTACATGCCCAAACCATCTCAACTGATTTTCTACCATTTTTTCTCAATAGGTGCTACCCTCACTTTTTCGCGTATGTGCTCATTTCGAATTTTATCTTTACGTGTATGTCCACACATCCATTGTAACATTCTTATCTCTGCTACTCCAACTTTATGCTCTTGCTATCCCGTCAGAGCCCAACATTCACTACTATATAACATGGCCGGTCTGATAGCAGTACGATAAAACTTTCCTTTAAGTTTATCAGGCACCTTATGGTCGCAAATAACTCCTTTAGCTTTACTCCAATTAAACCACCCAGCTTGAATCCTATGTGAAATATCCCCACTGATTTTGCCATTATTTTGAATAATGGCTCCCAAATATCTAAACTTTTCCACTTGAGGTATAATTTGATCTCCCAATTTCACTTCCAAATTACTGTTGACTTGTCTCTTACCAAATTTACAATATAAATATTCCGTCTTACTCCTACTCAGATAGAAACCTTTTGACTCTAATGATTAACTAAATTTATAATATAAACAAAAAACAACACATAAAACAAAGTTCTACTGCCATGCAGTCATCAAGAAGATTATTGACTTTGTATTACAGGTAAAACTATTGCACGTATGATACTTTCAGCAATTGAGAAGATAGAGTGAAGTAAATCATTTAAAATACTACCTCCAACTGGGGTAAAGTGCAAGCTTCTCCATCAACCAGCATCCCATCAGTGGCTCTAAGTAGAAAATCCGATGCACTAGCTACAATTACCATTGATTCGGCATTATCATGATTCCTCATTAGTTCCACAATCAACTTTACAATTCGCTGATTAATTCTCCACATCCTCTGTCCTACATCATCATCTCTAGCAATCCAGGGCTGCAATTCCCTCTCCGCCTGACAAACAAGAAGCACAGGAAAGTGATTATATTAAAACAATAGTAATGAAAAAACAAGCTGTTGAATTGAAAATCAGATGAAATCCCCAGCAGGAGATATTTGACATTTCTAAGCATAGAAAGTTGAAAAGTAATTCTGAAAAGTTGAAAAGTGCCATGTAATAGTTGTATCTAAACAGAAGAAGTGTCAAAGTCAGTGCCAGAGTTAAAATTCAAGAAACTATTTTGCAAACTGATGGAAAAATCTGAACCTGAAGCACAATTGCTGTAGCTGCTTTCGTTGGTGATGCTGATACAACATTGCATAATGCATCAACAACCTACATAAAAATTATCAATGATGCATCATTTCACTGAAAAAAAATTATATAAACAAGACTTAAGACTTCCTCAGAAACGCTAAAGCATATAAAAAACTTACATCTATAAATATCCTTGACACATCACTACTGGATCTCTTTATATCATTGAGAAAACCTAGATATGTTTTGACTATCAATAAAAACCATTCCAAAACCTTCTCTTAGTAGCTTTTGCAAAACTCAGTTCCTCAATAAGAAATCAACTTTAATCAAGAGTTCAGAAGCTATTCTTGCCATCATTATTTGCTACAATCTGATTGGCACCAAAGTAAAGGGAAAAACCCCTTCCCAAAAAGATAACAATTGAGATGGGGAAACCACCCTAATTAAGCATTCCATTCAGAAACTCATACTACTCAATATAAAACTAAAGCATTTCATACTACCTTGGTCCCTATCAATTGACTACCCTCAGAAAGTTGACGTCCTGATAACACTTTACTCGTCCATCCCTAGATCAGAATCCTTCACAAAGAGTCCTTTTGGAAGCCACTAACCACTAGATCTGATATCAAACGATCAGCATCCAAATGGGAGTGAGAAAACCTCTCCTAAAAGCTAGTTATTAAGCAATGAGAACGCCTCATTTAAGTACCCCATTAAACAACTTGTAGCACTCGGTGCGGGAAATGTCATGTTATTTTAATCCCTACCACCATCTAATAATCTAGTTAGACTAGAGGCCCATCACAAGGTTTAAGTGGGCTTGTGCCATGAACCATGCTTAAATATTTGAAATAGTCAATCACTTAAGGATATATCTGGTCTTAGTTGCAAATTGTTTCTGGCATGCTGCTCCTTTCTGTTTTTAATGTGGACAATTGACCCTATGCATGAAAGCATTTGTGATGACAAGGAGAGCTTTCTAGTGTGAGAATATATTTATGATGTTGCACAAGGAAATGATCAATTCCTTGCTAAGAAATTGCTTTGAAAGTTTGGGCTTAGGTTGTCTTTTTTATCCTTCCTGTGTACAAAGGATATACCTCTTTTATCCTCATCTAAAACTTCAAGAGTCTAATTCATATATGACTATTAAATATTGTTAAATCATGAAAACCATAAATTCTTGCAAATTTCGAACACAAGCAGAGAATGAGTAATTGCTAAATCAGTGAAAGGATACCTGTCTCCATCCCTGTTGGGCAGAAGTGCTTTCCACGCAAGGTTGTGTTTCAGGAGATGCAATTAATTTGTGCCATAGCAATGACACAACTGAGAAACATAACTCTCGTTTCTCTGCCAGCATGGATCGCAGAAATATTTGTGTGCTGCAATTAAATCCTATATACCTGTCCATGGTAAGGAAGTTGGCTAGATCTGAGGCATCCAATGAGAAACTAGTGATACCCTTACCCAATGCATAACCTGATGCTTCATTTGAGTATGAAGTTTTTGCAGATTCATGATTAGGTTCAGAAGGGGCTAAATCCTCCTGAGAAGGAGAGACAGATGTCTGCCCAGGATCAAAGCCGCGAGTGTTTTCAGATTGATTTTGCCTTTCACTATTTGAAGGAACAAGGGAACCCTTCCAAATAGATGCATGAACTAAGTTTGCTTCCAATGGCTCTGCCCTGTTAACAAAGGCTGCAACTGTTTTGCTGTGAATGTCTATGAGATTGTATAAGGACGATGCCCTAGAGTGAATTTCATTGTCCCATTTGCACCGCATCAAAACAGACAGAGCATGCATACAAGCTTTTGACTGTCTGAATAGTTCAGAAACATGGGCAGCAACCATTGCTGCGGCAACTATTTCATTTGAGCTGTGACTCCATGGAGTGCCAACAGAAGATGGCTTCAATGAAAACAGTGCCTCTAGAATTGTTAAAATTCTGCGAGTGTGGCGTATTGCTGAATTTATACCACTTCGCAAATCATGTGACGATTCATTTACCTCAACAGGCTTGGGTCCATCTTGTAAATTGTTGGAAGTTGAATGGTTGCTCCCTGCTGAAACCAAAGGGAACAACTGAAGCTCACAGGCAAGAGCACATACAGCAGCTAAAACATAGGAATCAAATGCTGCTACAGGACCTTGTTTCTTGAACTTATTATTTGCTTCTTTCCGACTTTCAGATATTGCTTGCAAGTCCCCAATGCTTTCCTGTGTCAAAGAATTATCTTCACCTCTTGGTTTCTCACTTCTCTTGTATCGTGCTTCGTGACTAACACAAACTGTTAAAACAACAAAAAGTAGACGAGAAGCAAGTTCTACAGACGCACATGATTCTAAAAAGAGTGAATGGATCATAGTACGAAGTTCTGCCACAGCAAGGTTTTTGGAAGCAGACCCCATTCCAGAGAAGTATCTAGTTTTTCTGTTATGTTCTCTGGATGGCTCAGATGGAAATGTCCTCTTAAGAATAGCTTCAACCGTAGCAACAAATATTTTCATTAGACAAGCTTCAGAGGGACTGCCACAAGGAAGATATTCCAAGACCTTAAGAAGAGGTATAAACAAATTCCATGAAAGTATGGGAGGTTGCAATGGAGTAGCAACAACAATTTCTGGAAGATCAACGGCTGAGGAACTCAAAGGAATCAGACCATAAGCTGCTTCCCAGATGGTACAGATTCTCCATTCAACCTCAGGCCCATGGGCACAAAGCATTGATGCAATGCCTTGGGCAGTAGCCTCAATAGTAGCTTCAGCTGCAGGAACTTCTATCTGATCAACAACAAAAATCATAATATTTTCAATATACTTGCAAAACCATCATCAAAGCCAAATATAAAAAAGGATTTGTTAGCTAATAAAGTTGAACAATACCTGCTTTCTATAGGATGAAACGTAACCACCCAAAGGTTCATGCTGAACTTCAACTCCATCAACTTGCCTAAGTGGAGGAAAAAGTAATGCAGGTTGTGAAAGGATGCGGAAAAGCAAAGCAGCTGCAGCATCAGCAGCTATAACAGCTCTCATGGACATTGCAGTCCCTATAGCACGCAAGAAATGCAAATGCATCCAATTTCTAGGAAGCTGCATTACCATTTAAAATAAAATAATGCATTAGTTAATATACAATTAAAATGAAAGCATTAAAAACCACCATAGCTTGCCTCCCATCTATTTCAGGATACATACTTTAGTCGAACTTTACTTTTTTCCGTGCAAAAATACCCTCCATAATATGTAAAAGGTTGTTTTAGTTTGAAAATGTATCTAAATTAATCGGGGTATTTTAGTAGAATATTAAAATTGGACTGAAGTGTAGCCTAATTTATTTTCAAGGGAGGTCCATAATAATTTTAGCAAAACTCAGAGGAGCTATGTGTAATTTAATCTTTTAAGTAAATGCCAAAATCTTGTGTCTAGGCAATAAGGCTTTGCAATAAAGTTGAGATATAATAGCCTATCTTCTATAATGCTGAAAACTGATCACCAATTTAGCATCAAAGCATATTTTTTGCTGCCTCAGCATATCAAATTTATACAGCTTACCCTAATGCCAGAAGCATAATCTTCAGCAGCTCGAAGAAGCTCCACAAGCTGCACAGCAGCATCAAGTGCATCTGGAGCCCATGATGGGGGAGCTTCTAGCAATCCAAGGAGTAGTCTTTGTGTGGCACTTGGAGTAGCAATGGCATAGTATCTACATAAATTAGACATGCAGGCTTAGTGAGATAAGCGAACTCAAGGACCAATAACCAAAAAAGGTATAGGGTTTAGGATAACCTATGAAATAAACGTGCATATGGTTCAAGAGCTGGTAATCCTGCAACAAGATGCTCATCCAAAGCCGTTGTGGGAGGAGGAAGTAAAAGAGCGGGGACAGCTGCTGCTGTTAAAGTAGCAGTCTCATAGCGAGCAACTTCTTCATCACAAACACTTAATATAACACCAGCACCATTGGCCACAGCCCACCTAGGAGTTGACGGCATGAGCTGAGGATGTTTTCCAGAACCACAAGAAGAAGCTAGAGCAATTTAAAAAAAAAAGAAAAAAAAGAATTGATATTAACAAATCTGATAGAGAAATCCTACATATTAACAACATAAATATTAAAAATGTCATGACAACACTAATAAATAATCTAGTTTTATTGGGGAAAATTACCAACCGATTTGTTTCCAGATGATTAATGAAAATGATGAGTGTATCTGTGCGTGCATGTGAAACTCCTACATGTGTTCCAAGTGCATTTTATTTTTATATTTTTAGGTGAATTGGTCCAGAGAGTTCCCAGTATTTTTAAGTTTGTCATTAGAATCAGAATAGAGGGACAAAATTGAGATTTACTATAGGCAAAGTCCATCCTTATTTAGATTGAGTATCAAGGTGCAATTATATAAACAGAAGATAGAAGAAAAATAAAATTTAAAATATTCAAAGATCACTGTAACAAGAATAAAAGCAGCAGATGTTTGAATTTGCATGCCTATCCACATTTGGAAAGAATCCACATGTAGCAATGTCCATAGTCCTTTTTTGGAGCCACCAATTTTGATGCCAATCAAAGGACACCCAAATAAGGCATGAATGTCACTATCCCCAAAAAGTAGGGGATTGGTGATTAAGTGGGTATTTTCCATTATTTCTTTCTTTTTATAAGTTAGACATTTTATTCCTTTTGTAGTTTCTAATGTTTGTCCCCTATGTTTTTCTATCTCAGCATTTGTCCTGTACTGGACGCTTTATGGAATTATGTTGAAAAACGCCCATCTTAGCTTTTATTTATTCCTATTGCACCAAGTAATCAACTATCTCAAGAACGTCTTAAGTATTTTAGTATGAATGTCTTACACACTATTGTGTAAAGAAATGATATGGAAAAACATTTAATACAACAAAATCAAGAGTTAACTTACCAGCTGCAGGTGGCTTGAGTTCTCCTGCAGCATATTTACCCATAACACCACTGCACCTGGCAATGCATGAAAATATAAATTGGATCGAAGTGTACTTAAAATCCCAGGGGTAAGCAAGCCATTGATCACATTTGTGTCAACAATGAGCATATAAGATATGTATATTTGCATCAAACAAATTGAACTACGCTTCAAGCCTACCAAATCTAAATCACTATTCCAATACTGAAGAAAAATCTATAGCTGACAAGCAAGTAGGGATGGCAATGGGGCAGGATAGTGGGTTTTCAATACTTGTCCTCACTCCATTCTGTTATGTTTTGTCATGTACATGTCTCATAATTCAGTGGGTTTTTATTCTTTCTGCAGCATATTCAACCCGCAAGTATTCTTTTGCCCCATACCCTGCCTGCCCCAAAATACCATAGGAAAGATAACAACTTTTCTCTTCTAACAAAACATCTTTCAGCATCAATCTGTTTGCCGATATGGAATGTTTTTAACGGAAAAGAGAATTACAATTGTGAATGAGAGGAAGATAAGGCATTTAACATAACAGGGAAAAAAAAATGCAATAACTCCATACAAACTCTATAAAATATTTATAAAAAAAAAGGCAAAAAGGACAAAGAAAAAGCAGAAGGATCAGAATGCTCCACTGATGCCTAACCTCCCCAAATATAGAAAAAACATGGGATAAAATAAACACCAAGTGGAAGCCAAAAGCACTACCCTTTCCCATCCCATACTTAATCAGAGAAAATAAACATTTTTTACCAAACTAGTTAAAGAATTCATAGTTATTCGCTCTATGAGAATTGAGAATAACATGATTAAACTTCATTAAAGCCAAAATGAAACACTTTCTGAATAATAAAGCTTAATCTACTAGAATCTAATGATGCCTAACATGCTAAATAATAAAAGCCCAGCTGCATTATTTACCTTTGTCTCCTTAAAACTAATCATTTTTGCAGGCAACACTCAAACCTAGATGATTTACCAAAAAAAGGAAAAACCAAATCATAAGTCAATTCATATTTATAAAAGTACTCACCACCGGAAATAGTCACTTCTAATTCCCAGGGGTGCAGCCAGCAATATGTCAGTAATCCAAGGAGACAGAGGCCTTATAGGTTTCTTCTCCTGTGGTGTGGAATAACGGTTAGATTCCCCATCAATAGGATTACTTGTCGTTGCATGGTTGCCACTGGTGCTTCTTTCAATTTCACTGTGTTGTCTTTCTATTTTGAATATGGGGCGATTGTAATGAGTTAAAATTCTCAAAATTTCACCACACGCCAGTGCCCATTGTTCAGAGAATTCATTCTGTACATTGAGACAAAAATTAAATGAAACTCCAATGTGTAACAGACAAGCAACACATAGGCCATAAATCAAATTACTTAAAAAAATTTCAGAATTTCAGCCAAGGGATTATACCTCACTTTCTGGGCAGACTAAGGATATGAAAGAAGCAAATGGAGGGCTAGTCTTATCATAGACTAGTATACCATCAATAATGCAAGAAATAATTGGAAGTACAACTGCATGCCCATGCTCTGGATGATGAAGGACAAAAGTCGCTGAAATCATGAAAATATAAAAGTTATTGCACATAAAACAGATTCCAAGAAATAATATTCACATTGAATCAACAAAATGTAACTAACATGAGTTTAAGCATAAATACCCAAAACATCATCAAAGAGGATCATTTCCTTTGAAGGATATCGGTTTCGGATCAACTGTCAGAAAAACACAAACCAGTTAGCATCTCATGCAAGCCCTCACATTTTATTAGGTCCCAAAGAAACCAAAATTTCCTTGAATTGAATATGTGGTATAAGTTGTATATTTTTCTCTTTACAATTTCTTGTTTTGCCCATAAACTAAGGTTTACTTGTCATACCTCAGCAATATCTTCAGGAAATTGTTCTGATGTAAACTGAACAAAGTACTCAACATAGGCAGTAATTTGATCCTAGCAAGAAGTGGACATAAATGTCACAATAATGAAGAAATGAGAGCTTTTCAATGGCAGAAGATGAAAGAATTCATAAATAAGCATCTGATAATATTTATGTTACAAATCACGAAGAAGACACCAGTGGTTCATGACTATGATATGTTAATAATATACATCTAATGACTTCACAATGAGAAAACATGCAACAAAACTGCAAAATGAAGCAACAAAATAAATGGTTATTCCAGGAAAAAAAAAAAAAAAGGAGTCCAATGAATTGTGAAGAATAATACCCATTGCCAAAATCAGTAGATAAGAAAAGTAATTTGAAGATGTAACTATTCTTGAGAAAGGATATTTTCTTCACTTTGATTACAAAAGAATTTATATTAACTCGGAATATTCAAAACATTAATAATCATGTGATAAAATATTGAGAAACATGGAACCATTTTAATTCAGTCTCTCTGAAAAATATACATGCAGAATTTTTTAAATAATCAAAAGGCCTTGAGATATTATCCCTTTCTTCTCCAATCTCCATGAAATGCTCCAACATTAAGATTGAAATATTATTCTACGTAAAGACATGCAAAGACTTTGGGTTACTAAAACATATAGTGCAACTGATAATTCACCACCCTGGAATAAGGGGGAAAAAAGTACTTCAGAAGAGAATAGCTGAGGAAACAATAAACAATAACAACATACCTTTCTTTGTTGACCATCCGGTGGGGGAGGCCAGAACAATGAAGAAAACTGAAGGCGGTCAATCCACCTGTCACTAGAAGCAGCCATTGAAGGAAATATCTAGTTCCTAGGTATTTCCTTATGCCTTTAATACCAAAACCAGCTTCCAGTCAAAACTTAGATATCGTAATTCAACATTCCCCGTGCAGGATGCACAGATATTTTGTTACCTGAGCATTTACAGACAAAAAGCAAAATCAAACTTCAAAAACATTCTCAAACCGGAAAAAAAAAAAAGAACGCAGCAAAATGCATCTCCCTGAAAATTGCAGCAGCTTACAACAAATAGCATTTGTTCAGCAGACTAAGTCTTGCCACTTGTGATTTCGTAAGTTTGATTTCACTGCAAACCCAGAAAAACTGAATAAATTACCCTTCTGAAATATCAGAATCAATAAGGAGATATATCAGAAACAGAGCCCAACCGAAGCCGAGAATCTTCGAGCCGAACAAAATGGAGAATGAAGCAATTCTCTTGACAACCAAACAGTTCAAAGATTATTTTCAAAAACTCAAAACAGAACCTGAATACTCCCCTAAATATCTCAGCACAGCTCAAAGTAATACCAGGGAGAAACCCAAAAAAAATAAATAAATAAATAAAAATCTTAAAACATCTCCGGAGGCAGAATCAAAACGAAGAACAACCAATCCGCCCACCCAAAAAAAATATGCAACAAAAGAAATTGAAATAAAAAATGAAAAAAAATAATGATAAGTACCAGTGCAGTTGTAGTTTGCAGAACTGATCTGTGTTGAAAGTAAAATTTCGGGGACGAGACGGAGAATCCGGGAAAATGGGCGAGACAAATAAAATTGGGAGTGTGATTTGAGGGGAAAAAAATTGGGTGCATGGAAAAATTTGGTTGAAGATTGAGAGGTAGTGGGAGAGGGAGAAAGAAGATCTTTAGGAGGGCTGAGAAGCTTGGAATGGGATCATACGTGGCGATGATATTTTCCTCTCGCCTTAGAGGCTCCGTGTCACGTCATCTTACTCCACAGTGTATTCGAAGTACCCATCCATGCTTCTATTTATATCCATCCTCGCACGCACATGCATCATTTGTCATTACATACATACTCACACATTCACCATAGTCAATCAATAAACTAAATCATTCATTAATACATTACCCAAAGTCCCAAACAAAACAAAATAAAAGCTCACTCAATCAATAATTCAATACTCTTCCCCTTTGAAATATAAGATACTTCTTGAAAATTTTTATATTTTAATACATAAGGTATTTTACAAAATTCTAAAGAAAATTAATAGTTTTAATGGAAAATTCTTATATACTTATACTTAATATATTTATTTCTTATTAAATTAAGACATGTAAATTTTTTATAAATTATTTTTTATGATAAATTCTTGTTATTAATTTAATTAACATAACTTGTTATGATTTGATTTAATATAAGCATATTAAATTTATAAAGTTAAATATATAAATCTTACCCTTTTTTAATTACTTAAGAAAATTGTAAAGATAAGGAGTAAGTTCTCTGTCTGCAATAGAAAATATCTTGTTCAAAATACTTTACTTAAAATTTTCTTGAGAGTATATCATAATTACTCATCTTCTATATTAAAAATAATTAGTTATTAATCACTTTTTTTATCTCAAAGATATACTCACATTTAGTGCCCTATCTTGAATAAAATTAATATTGTTTTTAGTAGAAGGATGCATATGAGAAAAAGAAAAAAGAGATGATATATATATATATATATATATATAAACATTAATAACTAATAAACATAGATATTATAGTAAAAAAATTATACATTCATATATATTGCCGGGATTAAAGGTTTTGATTCTAATCATGAATACACGCCTAAATACTTATTTGTAAAGTTCTATTGCTTTTGTGGTTCTTCCCAACTTGACCTAGATTAGTCAAGATCCAATGTGACTACCATGTCAAGTGGTTTGATGCCAAAATACATACACAAAAATCAATATAACATGTCATAGTCATAAATCATAAATAAATTTAAAATAGTATCCTCTTATTTCAAAATTGGAAATGAATTTTTGACTTCCTCTTTTTTTCTTTTTTCTTTTTAAATTTCTCATGTTTCTCACTTAAACCATTGCATTAGACCTGAACAGTTAAGATTTAATACTTTATCTACAAATATTATTAAAAATTTAAATTTTCATAAAAAAAGTTAAATAAATATAAATTGTTAAAATTTTATTAAATAATTTAGAACTATCATAACAAAAAAAAAAGTGGAAAATTTTACTTGACAAAATGTTCAATTTGAACCTTAACTTTTTTTCCTTTTTGATGGTGGAGATGAAAAGTAGGAAAAAAGGGAACGAAAAAAGTGCTGGAGAAAAGCCATATGTCACCAAATTTAACATGAAGCAATAAGGCCCCTGATATCGTTGATTCCTATGTTATCTAGCAAACTCAATGTAAAGCTTTTATTGATCATTATGCAATAAACACTCCCTCTCATTATATATGGACCAACTCGTCTATTTTTTTCCCCCAATTATATGATAATTTGATTGAATCAGATTTAAGCATTGTTAGATCTAATTTTTAAGGTATATATATCTTTCAATAATATGTTATGCATTTAGACAAATTTAAATTTGAAATATCATACTTAAACGATTATAATTTATTAGTTCCTTCACTAAAACTAATGCCTATTGGTAAGGACCACTACTCTTAATCCCATGCATTTGTTTTCTTCAAAAAAAAAAATAATGTGTTTATACACACACACATATCAGATACTAAAAAATACAAGTGGCATAAAAGTACCTCTTTATTCTCTTTTATATAAATTTAACAAAGTAAACATTGAATTTATTTTTCATATTTTGTTTGAATTAAAATATATATATATATATATATATATATATATATATATATATATATATATATATCCCCAAGCAAGTGTATAGAGGCTATGGTTCAGATTAAGCAGGATGGGACGTATTAATACCCCTTGGTTTTTCCATAATATCAAACGAGGGAATAAAAAATATTTTGCTCTAATAATCTATGAAAATTATCATCAAAATTTAACTTTTGATTAAAAATTTTCATAGATTATTTAATTTTTATCATCTAATAATTTTTATATAATTTTTATGTAAAAAGTATATTAATTTAAAATGGAAAATGAATATTTTTATTTTTTTAAGTATTTATTTAGCTTAAAAAGTCTATATTTGTAAATATAATTTTAAACAATTTATACCAAATCAAATGGGCGTAAGTGGTAGGGTATCACCTAAACAAGTAATTGAATATTCGAATCTCAACTCTTATATATGTCTCAGCTTAACTAAGAAAGGTTCTAACTAATATCATCTTTATATATTTACTCTTATTTAATAAAATTTTTTACTTAGAAATAAATATAAAATGATTTTTTAGTAAAGGTATTTTTGGTAAAAATATTAATTACATCTTAAAACATAAAAAATGTCTTACATTTTTTAAAATTCAACCTCTCAAAAAATATTTTATATTTTTTTATGGAAGGATTATCTCCTATTGAATTATAGTCATAACCCCCACAAGGACGCGAAATTAAAATTGATAAAAAATATAGTTTTATTCTTTATTTTTTTTACACTTAATTTTTATTTAGTCTTTTAATTTTTTTGGTCTTTTTTTAATTTTTTAATTTTGAAAATACAGTAAAAAAAATCTTGATTCCATTGCTCAGCATCTCAAGAAACTTGGGGATATTATCACCTCCTACATAGACTAATCCAAACCTTATTATGTGGGACTATTGTTACCAATGGTCACTTTACAGATATCTCAAAAATGCCTTTAACATAATATGTTTACTTATCCTAGGACTTGAACTTGAGATTATAATATAATTAAGCTAATTCAACTCGCCGTCAATAAAATACAGTAAAAATTTTCCCAAAAAAGAAAATGAACTTGGTCTCTCTATATAACTTTTTTATCTGAAAAGTAACAACACCACCATATATAATTGCATAATAAATGTAATATATTTTATATATTGTAACTACTAGCAGGGAAATGTCACCAACAATTGAAGAAAAAGGACATTTGAATCATTATAATTTTTCAGTGTAATTATAATTTGTGAGATCTTTTATATTACATATTTTTGCCTGGTTTTGGCCATTTTGTATATGTTTTTTTACTTCCTAAAATATATTTGAATTGTGTCGGTGTTTGGACTCGTGATCGCTTATGTAGTAGGTGGTGACTGTTTTAAAAAATAAAATAAAATAAAATAAACCGGTGATTGATTCGGTTGAAGCCCTATTTTAAGTATTTGTAAAAACAAAAAAAAAAACTGATTAAGGAAGAAGTGTTGATTTGCATGTAATCATTTTAAATCTGCATAATGAAAATTGAAGTTTTTAGGAAATTTCAAGGCAATTTGTCGACTCATGTTTTGCATAAATGCTCAAGATGAATCTTATACTATATTCATGACAATAAAAATAAAAAATATCAAAATTTAATTTCTGATAATGGGAAAAAAACATATAGAAGACTAGAAGAGAAAAAGAATTTAAACTCTTGATAAATTAGAGAGAGAGAGAGATCAGAGAAAGAGACTGAGCCGAATGTATATTGTATTCTTTATCATTTTATGAATATTGTTATTTTAAAGATGTTTTATAGATAAAATGAATACGTAGATGATTACGTTTATTTTGAAAAACTTTATGCAATAGTATTCTTCTAAAATATAATAGTTTCTGAAAACTTCAGACAATGTATATAGATATAATATGATAAATATTATTATTACTCTATTATTTATGTATATTTTCATACTTTTTAAATATAATAAACACTCAAATTAATATAATGGATAAAGTAGATTGATTATTTACCATACATATGTACCTAAATGAGAATAAATTAGCTCTTAAATCAATTTATTTTTTTTATCAATATAGTCTATTACACAGTATTTTGTCCTGCTTTTTAAATTTTCAAGTCTGTTTTTTCCAAATCTAAACAATTACACTTTTTTTATTAATTTATATAGATACCATTAATTTTTTATTATCCATGTTAATAAAATTTAACAGTGTTACATTATATTTAAATAATAAGAACTAAATTGATAACATAGATAAACATACATAAAGGACAAAATTAATAAAAAATAAACTTAAGGGACTAAATAAGTGAGATAAACTTGATGAGTCACTAATAATTTCATTATCCCTTTCAAAAACTACGTAAATTCCATGCATGCAACCTATACAATTTACATCACAAGAAAAGCTTCCCGTGAATTATCTTCTCAATTCATGCATATATATCCTTCACGTTGCATGCAACTAAAGTGAACATGTCACGTGCAACATTAAAAGGTGACATTATTTACACAACTGTCTAATAACAAAAATAGTACAATTATATTCAATGAGAAAGATGAAAAATTGAGTGAGATACTTAACATTTAAAGCAAAAGGCCATAAATAATTTATCATCAATCGATAAACTCTGTCATATATATTGAATGCTTTGAAAAGTTCAACTTTGTGCGACATGAATTAGGTAAATAACAGTTTGATATTTCTTCTTCATCGCATCGTCTCAAAGATAATTTTTGAATCTTGTTGCAGAGCTAAGTTAGGGTTACTACATATAGCCTCTCTGACCAATTACATGTTCTTTGGTTTTCAGTATCGTTGAAAAATGAGGGAAACTCTTTGGACAAGAGTTCGGTATTTCTTGGAGTCATATATGAGATATTTTTATTGGGTGACATCGATAAATCGTATGTATGAAGATATTTTTTGAATGTACTACGTATTATATTATATTTTTCATTTAAGATTATTGTGTACAGATTAAGAAATGCAATAAATATGACATATTTTTGTCAAATTTTCCCCTCATTACTTTAATATGACTCTAGAATTATGTAGGCAGTATTAGAATATTGCTCTAAGGATAGAACAGGAAAAATGTCATTAAGCATTATATTGC